TGAAGTCTTTTTTTTTTCAGTATGGATGCATTGTATTAGTCATCCTTCTGCACGTGCTGAAACTAGCATGATACAGTTTATGGACATATCATTTCACATGTAGTCGTGCTGTTCTTCCTATATTTATCTCGCTGCGGAGGATTTTCAGCCTCTTTGACTGAGAATCTGAGAATTCTCTTCTGGGAATGGATTTTCGTTAATCTGAGAAGACTTAGCTACATCCTAGTCTGATAAACAAGGAATGTTTTAGAAAAATCTGGGCTTCTGTGCCGGACCAGGCGCCTGGCGCCCAGATGCTGCCTATGCAGGAGTTTTTGACAATTTATTTTTTTTAATAAATTCTTGCTAAATACATAATAGTATTAAAAATAATGAAAGTTTAGCCTATGCGGGAGTTTTTGACATATTATTATTTTTTGAACAAATTCATGCTAAATACATAATAGTGTTAAAAATAATGAAAGTTCAAAAAATTAAGTAAAAAATCGGAAAAATTACAGAAATATCTTAGAAAAGTAAAGTGGTACAATTTTTTCAGAATAAGAAGTTAGAAGTCGAATGAATGATGCATTCACAATTTTTTTTAATTTGCAGAAGCATTATATTTATATAATTTTTCTTCAACAAGGTGTTTGTAATGTAGGATATGCATCACATTAATAAAGTTTCAAATTGATCTAAATATTCTTTTTCTCTTTTTACCCAACTTAGCATTGCCAATTTTATGCCATGTGTAAAGACCATAAGCACACGTCTATAAGTTTATTTTGCGTTCTCAAAACTTAATCGTCTCCTTAAAATTTTCTTATTTTGATCATAAAACTTAGCAATATTTATAATGTGCAAATTTACTATGTTTTTTAATACCTTATAATCCGTTTTGTCCCTTTCACACCTATATTCTGTAGGGTTTGGGATACATGGTGTACTTTAACCATGTATTGCTCAGCAAAGATGCATAAAAAATACGTGAATTTCACCACAGGACCTGGAGGGTTGAGATCCATCAAAATGATGCACTCGAAAACTGAAATGCATGATGCATTCTGATTAAGCTAAAGTTTAGTGTACAAATTATTGAAAGCTAGTGTTGGCGCAGGCATAAAACTAGATGACTAGACATGGTGGAAGATTCTTCCTAAGTTCTATGAGATTGGTGAATGTAACAACAAATAGTTGTGCTTAATTAATCCTCTCATTAGAAGGAGACCGGAATATTCCACCACCATGAGGTTTCAATTATTGGGATACCTCAATGATATTGATCTTTTTTACATCTAACTTTTGTTATCATGCCTGCTTCTATATATAAAATTTAAGTTTACCTTGAGGATCTTATTGCTTGCTACTAGTGGGCTGCATTCAGGAATGTACTTGATTTTGCAGTATTAGATGCATTCTTTTCTCACTTTGTGGTTTGTTGCCTAACCTTCATCCTTTTTGGCCAAAGTATCTATAAGCTTATTTGTTACTTCGATTCGTATGATTCATTTTTAAAATTAGTTGATGTATTTCTTGAGCAACAATATTTGTGGATCTCACTATCCAGACACAGTTTTTAGATTATCTCATTCAGAATGAATGACTCTATCTCCTAGGCGTTAGACAACAAGTGTATGATGGGTTTTTTTTTTGTTCCTTCTTTTATGTTTTGATAATTATATACTTAATTGAATTTGAGTACTTTTTCCAGCTTCTATTGGAAAATGCCATGTGGATCATGTTTAAATCCAATTAGTTCCTTGCTGTCAATGTAATATGGTTGTTCCTTGAATATTGAACACATTTAATTGGTGATTATCTTTTTTGCTCAGGGTGATGAACTTCAGGTGAAAGTGAACAAACTTTCATCGACAAAGACACAACTTCCCTATGACTACTATTTCTTGGATTTTTGTAAGCCCTCCAAAATCATGAACAGTGCTGAGAACTTGGGAGAAGTCCTTCGTGGTGATCGCATTGAGAACTCTGTCTATATGGTGAGTGCTCTTGCTGGCTAATAAAATAAAATTTACTTCACAAGTAAAATGGAACTCTACTTTTTATGCTTTCCTTTTAAGTGGCATAATATTTGACAAGCAAGCATTGATTCTACCTTGTAAACCTCCATTTGATGTCATCTTCATTTTCATGTATTATGTCCATTCCAGTTCAAAATGAGAATAGATGATACTTGCAAAGTAGCTTGTCGCAGAAAGCTAACTCAAGAAACAGCAAAGAATTTTAGGGAGAAGATTGATGATGAATACCGGGTTAACATGTAAGTATGCAAGTATATATGTTATCTTGTATGTCCTTTCCAAAATTAAAACGATTGTTTGCTGATCGATTACCTGTTTGCAATGGTCTAAACACAGTCATATCTTCATATTTGTGTGATTTTACTCTTGGCTGAGTAACTATTAGTTTGTTACAATAAAAGTTGTTCTGTCTACGCTCCAGATTTTAGATGTCCTGTCTCTGGTATTTAACAAAAATTAGCTACACTTGATAGGATCCTGGATAATCTTCCCGTTGCAGTCCCTAGACAAAGGAGAGATGGAAGTCCGGCACCAAGTTATGAGCATGGTTACCGTGTTGGTATTAAGGTAAGCTACTTGTATGTATCTATATTCCTGCTTGCTGAAAGATGAATTACCTATTCTTCTGTTAAGTTGACTTTTATTAGCATTTGATCAGAGTAAAGATGATAAGTACTTCATCAATAATCACCTGAGCTTCAAAGTCATGTACCATCTGGACCCTGAGATGGATGATGCACGGATTGTCGGTTTTGAGGTTATACCAAGCAGGTGCTTATTCTTATATGCTTCCTTTATAGTTTTGGTGTTGTTTCTCACTTTCTTGCACCTTCTGGCAGCATTAATTGCGATAATGGTTTGTCTGATGCTATTATTCTTTCATTGTTTTGTTGCTGTGGCATTAGAAAATTAGAAATTGTGTCAAATGAAAACCATTTATTAAATGATATTGACTTCTAGGATACACATTCTCCAGTGCGTAAAGTGTTGGTCATCCAAACGTGTGCACGATTATGCTTATGAATATTTAGATACTATACAGGCACCAATTTTATTCAGACTGCAAATTATTTTGGAGTTTCAAGTGGAAGTTAATACCTCTCATTTTTTGCTTCTGTTATCTTTTTTCCCTGTAAACAGCATAAAGCATGAGTACAGTGGATGGGATGAGAAGAATCCAAGAGTGGAAACATGCAACGCTAACACTAAGATTGCTCCAGGTAGCCATGCTCCTCAGGAAGTAACTGACGATGCATATGTTGTCTTTACATACGATGTTACCTTCCTGGTATGTACTCTATCCAAAATCATAACCTTCATCATTAGAAATTTGTATCTTACGCTCTTGGTTCTGTTGTATTGCAGCCCAGTGAAATTAAGTGGGCTTCGCGTTGGGATGTGTACCTTCTGATGAACGATGACCAAATCCACTGGTTTTCCATTATAAATTCCTTCATGATCGTTCTATTTCTATCTGGCATGGTCGCCATGATTATGATGCGGACTCTCTACAGAGATATAGCTAACTACAATCAGTTGGAGACTCAGGATGAAGCCCAGGAAGAAACCGGATGGAAATTAGTCCATGGCGATGTCTTTAGAACTCCTGTCAATTCCGGACTTCTATGTGTTTATGTAGGTACTGGGGTACAATTCTTTGGAATGGCCTTGGTGACCATGATGTTTGCACTGCTAGGTTTCCTCTCACCGTCCAACCGTGGAGGCTTGATGACTGCTATGGTTCTTTTATGGGTTTTCATGGGTTTATTCGCTGGATACGCATCATCGCGTTTATATAAGATGTTCAAAGGTACAGACTGGAAGAAAAACACTCTAAAGACAGCATTCATGTTTCCTGGTATCGTCTTTGCCATCTTCTTTGTGCTAAATGCCTTGATTTGGGGAGAGAAGTCCTCTGGTGCAGTTCCCTTTGGAACAATGTTTGCTCTCGTTTTTCTATGGTTTGGCATATCAGTCCCCTTGGTCTTTGTCGGTAGCTACCTGGGGTATAAGAAACCGCCTATTGAAGACCCAGTGAAAACAAATAAAATTCCTAGGCAAATACCCGAGCAGGCTTGGTACATGCAACCAGCTTTCTCTATCCTGATCGGCGGCATTCTCCCATTTGGTGCTGTTTTCATCGAGCTTTTCTTCATCTTGACATCAATATGGCTGAACCAATTCTACTATATCTTTGGTTTCCTTTTCATAGTTTTTGTCATTCTCCTCATAACTTGTGCTGAGATCACCATCGTGCTTTGCTACTTCCAGTTGTGCAGTGAGGATTATAATTGGTGGTGGAGGGCGTATTTGACTGCGGGTTCTTCTGCACTCTACCTCTTTTTGTATTCAGTGTTCTATTTCTTTACCAAGTTGGAGATAACGAAGCTTGTGTCAGGGATCCTATACTTTGGGTACATGACGATTGTGTCTTATGCATTCTTTGTGTTGACGGGGACGATTGGATTTTATGCTTGTTTCTGGTTTGTTCGCAAGATATATTCCTCGGTCAAAATAGATTGATTTGGTGTTGGGAGGAGAGTGTGCTTTTATGGACGACGAACTTCTACCGAGGGGAATTTGGTGATTTTGGTAGGATGTAAAACAGTGATAATAGGACTTGGTTTGTATCACTATTTTCAATCCTTTTTCTGTTTTCTTTTTAGAGACTGAACTTGTATGCTTATGTTTGTCTAGTTGTAACTGTTTCATGGGTCATACAACTTCGCAGTTAGTACTTATATTTTCAGAAGGAATATTTTCTACGAAGGCATTGTAGATTTCTATTGTGTTCTGTGGTCAAAAGGGGAAAGATAATTGTACATTCTCTTGCCTGGATACATATGTTTGTATGGTTACGATGGTTGGAAGATACTTCGTCAGTAATTTGCCAGCATCCTATAGATTCTGCTGAATTAATAAGCCTACTATCTAATTTAGTTTTGATAATTAACAAACAATTTATAATCGTGTTTTCTAGTATTTATGTTTCTCAGATATGTATCCAGGTTGAGTGGATTTGCGCCATATCGACGATATTTTAATGGAGCCGATGCAATTCAACTCAAAGTATCAAGATCGAGCTTCTTACACAATCATCTTAGGCATATTAGTTTTGGAGTTATATTTTGTGTGATAATAATTTAAGCTCAATTTTATACACACCTATTTCTCATTTTTTTCATAATATGTGTATTTTTGAGAAAATATTGTGTTCTTGGTTTATGGACTAAACAATCCTAGTTTACTTCTTTTCCTAAGTCTATAAAACCATTCAAATGATTTCAAAACTTGGTTTAAGTCATTTTGTCAAAATCAAGTGTTTTAACGAACATGTATTTTTGAGATTTTGCAAAATGACGAGTTTTCACAAACGGAGAATGATATTTAAAAAAAATAATTTCTAACATGTTTATATTCATGTTTATAAACATTTCGCCAAGTTTTATAATTTTTAGAATTTATTTGCTATTTTTAAAAGCACTTCAAAAATCAGATTTTCTATTCAAACTAGCCCATGTGCATGTTTTCAGTCGACTGACAAGGGCCATCAGTCGACTGAAGAAACTCGCTGGAATTAGCATTTATTTTCGCTTAGTCGACTAATGCACCATCAGTCGACCGAAGCAGCTCATCAGTTGACTGATGGTGCATCAGTCAACCGACATGCTTGGAATGGCTACCAACGATCAGCTCATTAGTTGACCGAAGAACTCATCAATCAACTGACGGATACTGTAACGAATAGTTTCTAGTTTCCTGATTTTCAGGGATTTTGTTTTTGTTGGATTTTTCTGGGTTGTTGGGGTTTGTTCTTGGAACCTATATATACCCCTTAGCCTCAACATTCTGAAAGATCTAAGAAAAGTTTTAAACAAAGTTTGTGAGTTTGTTTAAGTGTTTTAAAATAAAATTTTGGTGTATTGTTTATGTGAAGAAAGTTTCACAAGAGGAGGAGATCATCTCGGTTTTAAGCTTCAATTCTCATATCTCTATCTCTCTTGTTTTTCAGTGAAGTTTTACTAAACTCAATCTCTAGATATTTATATTTTTTATTATCATTTCTATTATCTAGATTTTAAATTGAGTTTATATTTTATTTTACTCATTGATTGCATACACAACCTATTGAGCTTTTAGCATTTCACATTAATCATAATTTGGGTTGTGGTGAGTGATTCATTGAGTGTGAGCTTAACTTCGTTCTCATTCTTGTTAGAGAACAAACCATTGTATTTGCACTTAATAGTTGAGATCACATTATAATACACAATGACACTTAGAGAAGTGGTTCGTGAGAGACGGGGTCAATTCCAAGAGGAATGATGTCGGTTGTAAATCCTAGGGAGAAATTCCGAGCACTTGAGGAAGGTGACACAGGCTAGGCTAATACTTAGAGGAGTGTATTGTGTATTGATAATTATGTGAGTTGTAAACGTTTATCGGTGAGCGTTGAAAACTGATTGTGTAATTGTTTTTGAGATAGTGGAGATTCTCCTCGAGGGTGAGGAGCGGAGACGTAGGTCGTGGGTTGACCGAACTCCGTAATCATTTACTTTGTGTTTGTGTTTGGCATTGACGCACTTTCTCTTGTATATTTTTATATCGCCTTTTGTCTCATGTTTATATCGTCATTTGTTTAATTCTATATCCTTGCATATATTACTTGTACACATCATATTGCTAGAATATTATTAGTAAGTATTAATTTAGCGTTAAAATTAGATTAGATTAGTAATTACCCTATTCACCCACCCTCTAGGGTACTTTCACCTATTTATAGGCAAAATTGTCATATTGGTATATTTTGTAGACACTAGGTGACAGAATGGTATACATTTTTTAACTCTTGTCAAATTGGTATATTATGTAGCCTTCGACGCCGTATACCCCTTAAGTTTTGCCAGATAGATTTTTTCGGTCAGTTTTCTCACGTGACGGCTCACGTGATGCCCAGCTGGTGAGATTTTTTGCATAAAACCCCCTCATCAAATAACCCATCATGCTCCTAACCCCCTCCTCCTCTCCCTCCCTCCTCCTCCTCATCCTCTTCAACCTCTCCCCATCTCCCATGCCTGCCAGCTTAGCAAAACCCTCCATCTGATTACCACAAATTCCACATACCTCCCCGTTCTTCCCCATCTGATCCCCAAACACATCTGAGTATGAGTTCTTATCATTCTCAAGCTGTCCCACTTTGTTCCGGTGATAAGATAAGCTATCCTCAGCGGCTCCGATTCTAAAGCTGGATTTTCATCCAAAGACTTCATAGGGTTTGAATCCAATGCATACCCATCAGAATCATCCAAACCAGTGAATGAAATTATATCCAACGACAATGAATCTCCATTGGACTAAGGTGAGAAAAACCTAAAAACTGTGGCTAAGAAGAGGGTTAGAGATACCATTAAGCTAGCAAAGAAGGGGAGGAGCCATCTTTTGTCACTAAATGGTCTCCCTGAGTGATTTCCCCCATTTTCCCTCATAATTCTTTGATACCCAGATTTAAATAAATCATTTACAACATTAACCTCTTGAAAATCTAACACCAAAAATTAAGCATGGAGACCAATTTCAGCTATAATCTCTGAACCCAAACGCCAAAATCTCAACTTTAGCAAGCAGAAATGAACAGAATCACTTCAGATGATAGTTCTACTTCATGGGTTGGACGAAATCAGGGCAAAAACTCAAAAATTCAAGGTGCCCCCTCCTCCACCACCACTGCCGCCAACCCTACCTCCTCCTTCTCCTCCCCTTTATCCACCCCAAAATTGATCAATCCCCACCGATCCAAGAACCTGAACACCTTCTCTATCGACCCCACATCTCCAATCAAAGACTTCCTCACCTCAGTAAACATCAGCCTTCGAGACGGCTCCTCGCGAAATCTATTGATGATGAAGTCTCGATACTCCTTGTAAACCCTAGGGTTCCTCGAATATGATCTCTTGTCGAAGAATTCAGGAAGGGATCTGCGCTCCGTCTCATGGATCGAGTCCCAGCTGAACCAACCTAGTCGAAATTAGGAGAAAATTAGGAATTCAGAAACCCTAACCCTAGGGGGGGGAGGAGCGAGTAGGAGAGAGAGGAGAGAGAGAGAGAGAGAGAGAGAGAGAGAGAGAGAGAGAGGAGAGAAGGAGAGGGTTAGAGAGAGAAAGAGAGCATGAGTTATTTGATGGGGAGAGGTTGAAGAGGATGAGGGGGAGGAGGGAGAGAGGAGGGGAGGAGGGGGGGGGGTTAGGAACAACATGAGTTATTTGATAAGGGGGTTTTGTGTAAAAAAAATCCCGTCAGCTGGGCATCACGTGAGTCGTCACGTGAGAAAACTGATCGAAAAAATCAATCTGGCCAAACTTAAGGGATATATGGTGTCGGAATCTACAAAATATACTAATTTGTCAAAAGTAAAAAATATACCAGTACGTCACCGAGTGTTTACAAAATATACCAATTTGGCCATTTTGCCCCTACTTATAGTAGATTTTGAAGAGTATTTACGTAACTTCAGCCGAGTCCAAGCAATTGTCTTGATCAGCTGATACTTTATAGGTGTCAGCAGTAGGTGATCTAAGTCATCCTCATATTTATTGTGGTGGCAACAGAGGGGCTGTAGTGTCAGCATGCTCCGATGAGTCATTATCACTCAGCGGGAGATATAATGATGACTTTGACTATACATCTAATGTTATGGTGACTGGCTATCATTGAGAGGTTCGAGAAAGACTGCGTTTCGTCTCTGCTTTTCGAGAGAGGTCGAGAAAAGACGCCTTTTGATTCGGCCGTTCTGAATGAGGACACTTCTCGACTCGGTCAACTAAGTGTTAATGCATTAAGTCAGTTTTAGCAGAAGGGCCCATGTGAGGACACCTTTCGACTCGGCCCTCTTGGGAGGGACTGAGTAGTGATGTCCTTCGACTCAGCCTTCGTGAGGTTGGATCAGATTGGTGTATAGTTAATTTGCAATATTGGTCATCTCCTGGAATGGGATTAACACTTGGTCATTTCTATGATACAACAAATTGTAATTGTATGATCAACATATATTTGAATATTTCACACACTGATCTGGATATTGCATTATATATCTATATCTAACCTATCTAATATAGATATTTAGTATCCATATCCACATCTTGACACAGATATATCCGCGGATATATGTTAGGTCTCATGTTATGAGCCTACATCTTCTAATCTTGTTTTGATGATTACAAACAATTCCTAATATTATTTGTCTAGTGTTTATGTTTTCTTATTAGGTATTTTAGACAAACAATATGTTTGAAGGTTGGATGGATTGAGCCTTCACGATCATATCAAATGAAGGTTGGCGGATATTGTGGAGTGAAGCCTATGCATACTAGTCAAAATCCAAGTTCAAGTTTTTTCCATGTTTACCAAGACAAGCTACAATGAAGATCTATCAAGCTTGGATAAATTAATTTTAGGGTTTATATAATGTGTGTTAATTCTATAAGCTCAAATATACACACACATTACATTTGTGAATTTTCATGAAAATAGGTGTTTTTATGCAAAATACATTCAAATATGTTTTAGACTATACAAACCTTGTTTACATCTTTTATTATGTCCATTAAAACATTACACAAGTTTCAGAACTTGATTTGAGTTAAAATGTTAAAATCAACATATTTGAAAAACACGTATTTTTGCACTTTTAAATATTTCTGAGTTTTCACAAATGGTAAGAGCAATTAAAATTTATTTTTCCAACATGTTCATATTCATGATTATAAACTTTTCACAAAGTTTTATATTTTTT